CCGCAGATGAGCCGCCTCCGCCTGATCCGGGTCGTTGAATACCTCAGCGGTGTTATCATCCTGCCATTGCAACTGCAGCTGGGCCGGGTAGCGCAACTGGAACTTAATTCCATCTTTCCTCAAGGCTTGCATCACGTTCCGAAAAGCGCGGCGCTGACTCATTACTTTGCTGGTGTAGTCTGGGAAGATCAGGACTTTGTTCCCCTTGTATTCCAACGGCTGCGTCCTTGCAAGGCGCAGAATCTGCTCCTTGCTCTGAAAGTGATGTATACGGGCTATGATGATACGTGGTTTCTCACCTGCCGCCGGCTTGGGCCACAAAGTACGGTGAGCGCGGTCAACCTTCAGTGGATGCGGGAAATGTTGTTTGCCCAGCAGCTCAGGGATGAGTTTAGAAACAAACTCAGTTGGCCTCCCTTCTTCCGAGTTTTCTTTTATGCCAACAATTTTGATGTTATGTCTCCGGGAGCGAGCCTCCAGGTCCAACAACTTAGTTTGCTGCTGGGTTACAATCTTTGTGAGCTCCACACATTTCGTTTCAAGCTCCCGCAGCCGCTCCTCATGTGCGCTGGCTGCTAGTTCTTGGCCGAGCATACGGTTCTGCAAATCAGTCTGTACAGCAAGGACAGACTGGAGCTTAGCTTCAAGGGCATCAAAGCGCTCATCCAGCTTCTCAAGAATTGACGCTGCCATATTCTTGCATATCTCCTGGCACAGCTCGAGCACCTGGGTCTTGTCGCCCGGAGCGCCGTCTCTGGGCTCGCCCCCGGCTCCGCTAGCATGGCTAGTGCTAGCATTAGCCTCGTTAGCACTAGCACCGCCAATGCTCCGTCCATGGTCTTGTTTTTCCCGGAGTTTGTAGAATTCTTCGGTGGCGACATGCTGCCCGGTAATCAGCCAAAGGTTTAGCGTCAAGAATGCCGGTTCTTAAGTGCTTTAATCGTGGTATTTAATGAGTTAGTTAAGGTTATGGTGGAGAGCGCAAGCCGAACACGTCTACATCTCACAGCTGCGCACTAGCGCCCCCCCATGGATTGCAGCTTTAAACAAACATTTATTAGCAGGAGACTGGAGTGAAGGGCTGCTACCATTGAAAAGACAATTTAGGATGCATTTTATGTAAGAAGAAATGAAAATCACTGTCGACAGTGTTTCCTAACCTCTATGAGAAAAGTAAACATGTCTCACTAGGAATTATCTATTTTTAATTTCTAGCGAATATATTTTTTCTTTCACAAAGGGCTTTATTTCTCTTATCTCTATAGATATCCTGTATATAAAAATAACCAGAGTGGTTAAAATAAACTTTTATTTCCAAATAACAGGGGTTTCTCAAAAGANATGATAAAAGGTTGTGTTACATTTAATCCTTTACTATTAAAAATGCACGTATACATTATATGATTATAGGAAACACAGATATCCAGGAATAATGATGCAGGGCAGCTTGTAGGTGAAGCAGCTGGCCTTCAGTGCTTCAGGTGATGTCTAAATAAAACAGGTGATACTAAAATATTTCCACATGAGGAGTTCTGGATGGAGAATATTGACAGACAAAAACATTTTATTTTAATCTTATATATTATATATATGTTGTATTTTTAAAATTTTGGTATAATTACTGATCTAAGTGGGTTGCTCTGTCGGAGAAAGGCATATTTTACATTTTTATTATGTTTTAGAGTCTCTATTCTCCAGTTAATGATGAATCACTCACTAAATTAGTTGACAATTATTGAAATAATCAATTAATACGATTAATTTTTTCAGTCCCAGACAAAATACATGAAATGGGCCACACAGAGTGACTACAGCCCAGATGTTCAACTTTTATAGTGAAGTTAATATTTTAATGAATGTATTATTTTGCTTGATACAGAGAGAGAATAGTAGGTAAAAATATAAGAGTGGGGTTTAACTCTGCACAATTCTATATCTTCAGAAGAAAATACTGTGTTTACCTTCTCTATTAGTCATTCAAATGAAACCATTTTCAAAGTGGAAAACAGTCCTAATTCCACGTTCATCAGAGCCGGTGATACTTCAAACATTAATAAACAGCATCTAATGAGTGTAGTGATTATACAATTTTTATTAATGTACCAAAATGATGCTTTTCTCTTTTAACAATGAATTCCTCTTATCAGTACGGATCCTCACACCGTGCATAAAAAAGGGCATGCATATTGCATAGCACCAATGACACCCGACTGATAGTGTCCCTACCAAAGTTCAAATCAAACCTACGCCCTTGACAGATAGCTCTCCTCTATCAGACCGACTCAAAGATGTTCCTATATCCTGTGTATTTCTAAAGACACGAAGGCTGCCCTGATTAGATGACCTCCGTACACACAGTGACATCCACAATGTGAAGGAAGGCCTTCTACTCTCTCTAATCTGGCTAATAAAGTAACAGTGCACATGATGTATAAATGATAAACCTAACAAAATCAAAGCTTCCCCATCAACTTCTTAAGACATACTAAAATATTTCTCCAATTCCCATAATTC